TGCCTTGCTACATGACTTGTTTCAGATTTGAAGTGCATCATATAACATGTGATGCCTAGAAATATTTTTTTAATTCCACAAATATATGTGGAAAATAACTGCTATAAAATCTTTTTTTTTTTAAACACAAGCCATGAAAGCAAATATATTTGGTGTTTTTTTTTTTTCTCTACATCAGAAACATTTTGTCCTTCTGTAATATAAAACTGATTGAGACAATCCATCTTTGAAAAACTTCCTAAATTTAGAAAACCTAAGCCAAATGATATGTTCCATTCATTTAAAAAAAATCAGAACCAAACTATGTTTGATTAGCCATGATTTTCTGAGTGTTTGCAGATTCTGAGGTGTTCCATGTAACTCTAGTTTCAATAAGAATAGATTTTCCTGACCATAGCGAAGTTTATCATGATAAAATAAACCAGTACCTATTTTTGAACTGTGAGGCAAGATGCTTCTTAGACCACACACAGAACAGTTTAAAGAATGGTGAGAAAGGAGGTAATTCAGCCAGTGGACTTTCTCCGCCTTTGACTACACATCTTCTTTCTGCTGGTTCCTGCTGTATCCATCTGCCCTCTGTGAATTTCAAGGCCAAGAGCTTTGCAAAGAAGGTTTGTGAACTTGGAGAAGCTATGAAAGTGAAAAGCTGGGAAGCAGGATTATAACCAGAGCTCTAAAGACAAAGGGCTAAACCCACAGATAAGGCAGTTATCCATCCTGCTCTCTGACAGAAGATTTTGATTTGCATAATTCTCACTGGTTTAACTCTTATTTGAAAGGCAATCAATAGTCCTTGAAATCAGTTGTCTCAGCTAAAAAACAAAATTTCCCCCTTCAATCCAAATATGCCAAAACCCATAAGCTCTTTTAGACAGAACTTTCCTTCTATGAGTTATTAATAAGATGAAGAAAATTCTATCAATTAAAATCCTTAATGGAACATTTTGTTCAGGAAAACTTGAAATCAGTTTCTTGAGTCACCAATCATTAAAGAAATCCTGAATGCCTTTTGCAGCTCTATATGTCTTAAAATAGAACTGGGGATGAAGGTGTACCCTGCCTGAATGAATGTAAATAAACCAGGGAACACTCTCCAGTGCCAGGTCTCAAGAATCTATGCTGGAGCTGTTTTTATGCACCAATATCCCCTATTTCCACATAGTTATTTTAAATGAATCTATATAATGGACTGAATATTACCCCTAAAACCAATTACCTGAGCAGTAAATGTCATATTAACCTCATTGAGAGAAGGCTTAAAAATCAACTTTTCTAATTTTCTTAAAACTCATTCTCTTGCTTTAGTTCAATCATTTGCCAATTAATATTCATAATGGAGCCCAGAACTGCAAGAGGAATTCAGGAGATGATCTCACTTTGGTAGGTGACTGAATCAGTAAGAGCAGGTGATGGGTCATTTTCTTCATGAACATCTCAGGAGACTTGACAAAATTTAGGTGGTAAGTTCCAACAAAGGGAAAAGAACCTGTGTGCAAACAGAGTCTTCAGATCAGTTTTGCTTATACTGGTTTGATGTAATCTAAATGAGGGATTAGTGAACCCTAGCCCATAGACCAAAGTCAGTCCACAACCTGTTTTTATAAAGCCTGTGAGATAAGAATGCCTCTACATTTTTATATAATCAGAAAAATATAAAAATTGAATTCCAAGACATTTAACAGAAACTCAAATTTTAGCATTCATGAGTGAAGTTTCACTGGGGTACAATTACACCCCTATGTTTACATACTGTTTGTGGGTCTGTGGCTGCTTTCATGTTCCAATAGTAGAGCTAAGTAATTGCAACATGACCACATGTCCTGCAAAGCCAAAAATATGTACTGTGTAAACCCTTAAAAAAATTTGCTGTCTTCTGATCTAGACAATGGCAATAGTAATATCAATCAATAATTCATTCCCACTTTAAAGTTTTACTTCTTTTATTTATTATCCTAAAATGAGCTCACCTAAAAATGATAAACCAAGGGGGCTGGAGTTGTGGCTCAGTTGTAGAGCACTTGCCTGGCATGTGTGAGACCCTGGGTTCAATCCTCAGTACCACAAATAAATAAATAAATGGAAAGAAGATCTACTGGCAACTAAAAAATATTTTTTAAAAAATGATAAACCAAAAGAAATAAAATCTAACAAGAGCATAATCTCAAGCCAGTACTATGAGGGTGAACTCTGATTTAGCTTCCAAAGAATGATTCTCGTGTTGAGATTTTTGAAAGTCTACCCCCATCTTATCCTTAGGAACTCTTATTTAAGGCAGCCTTAATTTAGACTTGGGTCTGTAAATATGGGATACTATTCATGACTTATCTAAAATAAAGATGAAGGATTTTAGGTTCTTTGAAAATCTCTTCTACATGTCATTAATGTAAAAAGATAAATATAAACAATACATTGACTTGAAACTGGATAATTGAGTCACATTTTCATCCTACCTCCCAGGAAATTTACTTTCATGAGGAAAAGAGAAATGATCTATCTATACATTAGCCTCCCATTAAAGAACAACTATGAGCTGTGCAAAGTTCTATCAATAGACATCAAATGATAGTTAACCAAATGGGTCTTGAAGAAGCACAGTTGAGCATGACCTACCACCTAAGGACCCAGAGATCCCAGATGGTAAATGATGACCCAAGCAATTTTTCCACCATAACCAATAAGCCACCTTTTTTCCTTGGGAAGAAAATAATGACAAAGGTCTACACGAAAATAATATGAAATATTTTTAATCCTAGGAAGGATTTGATTATTAGTAACCAAAGGGGGGAAAATCAATAATAATAAAAGTCAGTCTTTTAAATCAAATGAACACATATCAAATTGCTCAACATCATTAAATGGCATGATATAATTTATCCATAGAAGACATGTTCTCATCCAGTGTAAAATTGATTTAAATAGTTTTCACAGAGTGCTAAGAGATGTTATAGGCGACAGTTGATTTAATGAAGTATTTAAGGCCTCAAAACTGGGCCTTTTGGAAAATAAAAAATAACATCTTTTTCTACCACTTAGGGGGAAAGGAACAACAAATGTCAATTAAGTCACAGAAACATAATTAATTTGTTTATGTCTTTCAACATTTCACTGAGCTTTGCAAAGGCCAGCTATAAAGTGAATTTTATAACCAGAATTGGTCTGAATATTTTTCTCATAATATTCTGTCATATTTCTTCAGCTCTTCAAATAAAATGACAAGCCACTGGAATCCAAAGGAAATAGGCAGCTCTTTCCAAAGTTGGGACTGAGCTGACAAAATCTATTTAGTATCTAAAATTAGAAATAAAATAAATAAATTCTTTAATATCAACTACATTTTCAGAGAGTTCATTAAAAATTTAAGGCATTTTTGACATGTCAGAGATTTTAGTCCAGTGACAAGAGAAGAAAGAAGCTACCTGGGAGCAAATCCCAATTATCTCTATGGCTTGAAACATACATGTTGAGCACAGCAGAAGATGAAGAGAGAGGTGACTGGTGACTGCGGAAACTTTCTGAGTCTGTCCAGTCTGTACAACTTTATCAGGGTTCCTCTGAAAGGGTGCATTTCAAGTGTATTTTCATTCTTCTGGTTAAATTTTGTCAAGATGGGGGAAGGCATACCAATAGTCTGTTAGTGGGATAAAAATGAGTAATGCCAAAATGATTTCTTCTTTATATAAAGACTCAAGAAATTAAGTGAAAAAGTTTTATGCACTGTGACACCCTCTTGAATCCCACAATGAACAATAAAACAATGGCGACTTCCTCTACACCTATACACAACAGCAGAGCTGTACACAAAACAAAAAATTCATTTAATGAAAGCAAATGGTCTAGTGTTTTATCCACCAGTCAAATACACAATTATTCATTTTCTCCCATTTTTTCACAAAGATGCCGAGACTGTCTGCAATATCAAGTGTTACAACTCATACTTCATTGAAGAAATGTCTGGGACAAAACCTTATACCTATGCCCTGCCTCCTTTAGCCAACACGGATCTTTTTTAAAAATTTGGATTAAGGTCTGTAAAGATAACTGTTTATTGGAAACAAACCAGAGCACCTTAGATCATCAATTGCCAGTGAACCCCCTTGTTTCTCAGTTCCCAAACAAAGTTTACACAAAATTGGTTAAATCTATCTTCAAACTTCTTTCAACAAATAATGTCCAAGTTGTGCTAAGACTAGTAATCCATCATAAGAAATATCACAAATTTCTGGATCAGTTTTGAATAAGAACACTACTTATTTCATAACTGTTTATAGTACAATCACATTCTTATCATGAATACAATATATGCGTTTCCAAAATTGAATTCCTGTCTATTGGCTTAGCGGGGGGTGGGGGTGGGGATAAGATGCTTCCAACAAAGTCATAATCCTCAAAGTCTTGCAGCAGAAAAATAATCAAACTGCTGGTGCTTTTACATGAAGGAAATGTCCCACTAACATTTTCTGGAGACTGTGAAATTATCCCAATACCTCTCTACAGTTATTTGGACTTAAGAAGAAGAAGCCCTTTCTTCTTCATGATTGTGCAACTAGTTTAATAACAAGTTTTCCCACTTATTTATTCTTCAGGCACCAACAAACTGTTTTAAACCATTTGACTTTTATGATAATACCTGCTTATTTGCATTAATGGAAAGTCAAAGCTTTCTTACCCCCAGCTGTTTTTTTTTTGTTTTTTTTTTTTTTTTAATATTCCTTCAAACTTCCACTTAAGCTCTTCTTACCAATTCCAACAAGGATGGAATTTCAAAGGCAATTATAGGTTTAAATAACCCAAATACATGCTAATTCTTTCTAAAATATTACTGATAACATAAGCTTTGGAAACCAAGTAAAAATGCCCTATGTAAAAAGAAAAATTTATTGTCTTTCATTGCTCACCATTTTTTAATAGAAAAGATGTTTAAGGTCTGTTGAGAAAATAAATAATGGGAAAAATAATTATACCTTTAAATTTTTTTCAAATCTTCCCCCAAACATAAACAAAGACAAGACATAAACAAGATCACAAGGCTTATGCTCACATCTGCCCTCCAAAGCACACTTTTTATGTAGACATTATAAAGAATAAAAATTACCCAATAATTATATGGCATGCATCAGCAGTGCACTGGTGGGCTTAAACTTGGTTTTCAGTTATGTGTATATACAGATAAATCTCTTCCTGAGTTAAGTTTCATCTTCAGTTGAGACCCAAATCATTTGCTTTCCTTTGTTTGGCAAGGTACTAGACCATGTGATAAGGCAATCAAACGTTTCAACCTCTTTCTCATTTCAGTGCCAAGGCTTTCCTCTGTGAGACAACCAACATGACAGGTGTGAAGACACACCCTAACATAGGGTCCTGTAAACCCACAGAGCCGGTTTCTTTGTTCATTAGTCTGAAGGCTACAGCACTGTCTCTTCATATATTGGGTGATCTTGAGGATTTCAATTGAACAGATTCAAAATGGTCTTCTTTTTCCTAGGGAAAAAAATTAACAAAATAAATGTATTGAAATTCCAGTAAAATTTTGGGATCTTTTCCAGAAGGAAAGTTTCAAAAAAATCATCTGAATCTATGTACCTGCCATTTGTAATTAGGATTTTACATCTAAGATAAGGTGGCAGACATAAAACAAATAGCATGTCTACCCTGAAGGGTGCTTTTGATGCCCAAGAGATAAGACAGACACATCCAAAATAGAAGCAAACACATGATTGCAATAGATATCAAAAGATGCAGCTGTAATTCCTGTTAAAAAACACTGAGAGCCTTCCTAAGGGCACACCTGACCTTGATGCTGAAATCAATGACCTTGCCAGACTAATTGTGGGCAAAATAGAACTGACAGACACTAAATAATCTCAGGATAACAGAGGCTAAAAAAATAAAAAGGACAGCAGAAAATAAATAAGGAGGCAGAAGATCATTTGAGTTCACTGACATTTTTTATTGTTTGGTTTTGGGAGTGGGGAGGTTGTTGTCTGTTTGCAGTACTGGGGATTAAACTCAAGAGCATTCTACCACTGAACCTCATAACTAGTCCTCTGTTAATAATTTTTGTTTGTTTGTTTTTAATTTTGAAACAGGGTCTCATTCAGTTGATTAGCCTGTCTTCGAACTTTCAATCCTCCTGCATCCGCCTCCCAAATCCCTGGGATTATAGGCATACACAACCACACCCAGCACACAGACATGTTTAAAAAAAAATCTTCTGAGTACATGTCTACTAAAGATATTAAACAAATCATATTAGATAATGCTTCAAAGTTTTAATTTAAATATATCATTGATGGTGTCATGTAATACATTCAAAGGTAGCCTATTAAATTCTTTTCCTTTAATGGGTAAAAAGAGATAAAGAAGGTGAAATTTCTCCCAATCTTAATTATTAAAACAGAGAATGTTTTCTGAAGACTTCTGAAATGGGAAGACAATAGAACTAGGATTACTTTTAAAATAAAACAAAACAGGAAGTCAACAAGTCCTAGGTAAAAATAAATGTGTGTCTAAAGTGGAAGCATAAAAATAAGAAAATGACAGGAAGTAGACACTGAATAGCTGTCAGGAAGGGTGTCTGCTTTTGTGTTTGCTTTTACTTGGGGAGAGAAGTCCAAGAGCTTTAGGGTTACAGGGACAGGATTGTAAAAGAAAATCAGAGGATAAATTCCAACATATTGCTCCTTCCCTGGCTTTGCTGAGAGGACAGACCACTGGGAGAGTAGACTACAGAGATCCTCAGTGCTTTTGCTGACAGGTTCTCTAAAAACTTGCCTGGAGTCTAGTATTTATCAGCCTTGACAATTGTGTAAAATGACTACTGACAATTGGAATATGTATTAAGCTTGCATTGCAGTGTGGGATAAAATTAGACGTTGGGGATATAAAAATTAATATAACAAAATATCTACCTTCAGAGAGATAGGGCATATCAAAGAAAAGCACTTTAGAGTATCAGATATGAACTAACAAGGAAATCTGAGATTTCTGGGGCCATTTCTTGAAAAAAATTTAACTCAATATGTTCTTGAGGAGAGGTGAGCAAATACCTGTTGGTTATACTCAAGGTTATTTATCAAGTAAAACACTTGAAAACCCTTTATCAAGTCATGTTTGGATCATAGGACTTGAGTCATATCCTCTGTGTTTACACAGGATTTTACTCCTATTGCTGATATGGTAGGATATATACATAAACACATAAATGTGTGGGTGTGTGCATATGTGTATAATTAGGCAGTGGCACTAATGGAGTTAACTTTCTAATAGTGGGAACTTCTTCATTTTTTTTTTTTTTAATTTGTAAGGCAAGACCAAGGCATCATACATGGTGGATTGTCAATCCGTGGTTACAGCAATGTATTGAAACACCACTTCACATTAGGAAAAATACTAGATTGAACTCCAGAGATGTGAGATGTTCTAATCCCCATCTAGTTCCTTTGTACAAATAAGTGAGCCCCTCTAGGTCTCTGTTTGTTCATGCACCAAAGGATGCCACACAGGGTGGTCTTTTTAAACTCTAAATTGAAAAGCCTATTCAAAAGCCAACTTGTCCCAAAAGATTCTCCTTACCTTGTTACTACCTCCGCTACTACACTCCCTCTCCCCTGTGCTCCAATAGATCCTACTCTTTATTCTTGCCATACTGGAAGATTCTCTGTGTGCATGGTGATATGTCTTCCCACAATATTCTAGATAGTGTCTGAGATAAGAAACTATGGCTAATTTGACATATCCCCAAAACCTTGCATAACACTTCATATATGTCATAAATTATTCTGGATTAAAGAAATAAAAGAAACAATTAAAAAATCAATTGAAGCATTTTTAATTGCTGGGGAAAATCAAGAAAAATAAACATATAAGTATGTTTGTATGTAGTGAACTACTAAGGAAATATGAAGTAAGGTATAGCCTTTAGAACATGAATAAGAATATAGAGGTAAAGCAAGAATATATAAGATAAATCCTACATGATACAACAGTTTAAAAAATTTCTGCTCTCTGGAATCATGCATAAAAATGTGACTCATAATAAGACTTCCACAATGATATTCACAGCTTTATTCATAGTGAAACACTGTAAATAGCACAGGTATCCTTTAAGAGAACAACAAAAAAATATTATATCCATACAATAGCTTACTGTTCCTGTATAAAAAGAAATACATTACTGGATAACAGAACAAGGTAGATGAATCTCAAAAATATCTAAAAGAGTGAAATTGCAATTATATGAGGTTCTAAAAGCTAATCTATGGTTTCAAAAATTGATATAGTAGTTTTCTTTGGGAGAAGAGGGATTAACAGCATGCAAAAGGACACAAGGTTAGTGTCAGGGGATGCTTATATTCCATATCTTGTTATGATTTTTATTTATACAGGCATATAATTCTCAAAATTCATCAAATTATATGCATATTGTGATATGTGCATTTCACCATAAAGAAATCTTAAAATATTGAATTCTAATCAATGATATGTATCTTGAAGTGTTTGGTCATGAAGTATATCAAAGTCTTCAATTTATTTTGAAACATAAAAAAAGCAGAGAGACTGTTAAATAGTTAAAGGGATGGACAGATGGATGCATATAATAACAAAGCAAGCATAGTAAAATTTAGATGGTAGTTTCTAAATATTATTGCTTATTTTTTCAACTTCTATGTAATAGCTAAAATCTAATTTTAAAGAGTAACAAAAGAAAGATTATTATGCTAAAATTGCTATTCAAAATAAAATGCTCTGGTCATACCATAACAACAGAGGAAGTACTGTATTATTAGGAAATACCTTAAAATTTACACAATATTTAACATACTCTCCTCTGAACAATTCCACTTTTTTTCTTTAAGATTCAGCTTAGGAATTACTTTCTCTTAAACAATTTCCCTGGTATCTAAATATTCCTTTCATTATTATAAGATAATGCCCTTACAAATGGGGACTCACAGGACCAAATAAGTACAGAGAAGTCTAAATTGACACTTGAAGGTTTTCACTATGGATTTCTACATATCTTGTGAAGAAGATCACAGAATGCGCTTTAATCTAAATAAACTTTCAAAGATGTTAATACAAAACAAAAACAAAAACAAAAACCTTGGATGATAGATAATGTCTCCTTTCAAAGCAAAGGAAAAGTTTACTTACTATTCTGAAAGGTGAGACAATGCCTCCCCCTGTGGAGAAAATAGCAAATACACTTACTGCCTATAATAAAAGATTCAGGCTCCACAACCCATGGATTGTTCTTCTATAATACAATCCATTCTGTCATCTAGCCTTTTTCACTTCACTCTTGTGGGAAGTAAGGCTTGAGGAACCAAAACAAACACTGATATTTTGAATACTATTGTTGCTGTGAATGATAAACTGTTTTCTGTTTGAATCAGGAGACTTTTGTTTTCTAAAGGGCTCATGAAACCATGAAAGACCAATTTGTTGGCTACAAGTAGAGCAAATTTTCAAAGCCTTCAGAGTTCTTTACTGCTTTGCTAATGAGGATGGGTAAAAGACAGAGACATGGTTTCTAGAAGAGGAAAGATGATAGCTTCACACCTAAGATTTGAGGGAAGAAGAATTACTTAGAAGCCATAGAAATTGGTAATAAATATGCTGACCAAATTCTGGTTGGGCAATAATTGGTCCCTCATTTTATCTTCCAATAATGAAGAGGAATTGGGAAGTGGATGCAGGAAGAATAGTGGGAAGCAGACTAATGGGTTTACAGTTCAGCTTCCTGAAAAGTGCCCTGAATGTTGTTAATTCTCCTCTGGATAGGAAGACTTCCTAACTAATCAGGAAATTCACTTCAGAAGTTCCCCATGGAATAACCAGTACTAAAATTTATCCAGATAATAAAATAAGAATTCACTCTTTTAAGATAAAAGTTATAGAGATTTGTACCTACAATGAATAAGAAAGGGAAGAAAATGGAAACCATTTATGAACAGAAACCTGGTGAATTGTTAGAATCTTGGCTAAGAGGATATGTCAGGGCTTAATGAATGTTAAGGAAGAATGGCAACAACTAGGCCATTTTAGGTTTCAGCACCTCTTGCCATCTATCAAGCCAAATGTAGATATACTAAAAGTGAAAGATAAAGGGCTCAGAGATTTTGTAGTGGTTCCTTACTATAATTACAGAGCTTTGTTTTCTCTGAGAGGTTTCCTGAGACCAATTTACATAAGAATACTCTGTGAGATACTAACTATTATTTGGACTTTTACTGCCACAAATTGGGTTTCCAAGGTGAAATAAAACCACTGAAGAATAGAAACTGACCAAAAGGAAGCTAGATAAATTAGCATGGTCAGCTACACCCTGGAGATTTCTCCTATCCTTTGTTAAAACTAAGCATTAACTTAGATATATGGCAACCCAGCAAGAAATATTCTAGATTAGGATAAGTTCTTTTTTAAAGAAGGTTTCGATATATAAGCCAAGTCTAGATCAACAAAAGGACATAAAACCT